ACACATTAGACTCAGATTTTAAAATCAGATTTTCACAGAAACTGGTTCCTGTTGATGGTTTGTACTTATTTTGATTTAGTAATGTGTCATGTTAGCTAGCATTAGCTCAAATTAAACACATATTATTATTGACTATAAATACTGAAATATGTGATACATATTTACATTATACATATGTGATCTTTAATGTGTTCTGGCCGCCTGCTGTTAGTCGCTGCCACAGTGTCGTGTTGTGTTTGTAAAGTCTTCAGCTACAAGTTCAAAGCCAAACTTGGGTTCATGTTCGTTCTGTTTGTCTCTCAGGAACATGGGAGGAGTGAGCGTCCAGGACCCGTTCTCTGAAGGCAGCGATCCAGCCTTCCACAACAAGCGAGGCCCGGGACCCGGCGGCGCCCCCTACCAGCAGGGAGGAGGACCAGCAGACCCCTCGATGAGGATGCAGTACGACGCCAACAAAGACCCGTACGGAGGACCGAGGAAAGGTGAGGAAAGAACAACAGTTTATAACGTCACAAAAGAAGAAAGAGGATTAGTTTCTTTACAAAAAAACATATTGACTTAAGATGATATTTAAATAGATACAGCTTTATTTACAGAGCCTTCCCTGCTCTCTCTCTCTGTGTTTACTGACACTGATTTTAGGCAGATATGTTGTGAAATGGTACAAACTCATTCCTCTGACAGCGCAGAACCACCTCGGACACAAAGTGAAACCAGTTAATCAGGTCTGGTCCCGACCAGCGTAGAGAAGGAACCAGAGCTGTGGATGGAAACGTGTCTTTATTCAGGCCTTCAGTCTCAGCCGCTGTGCTCTGCTGCCCCCTGCTGGTCACACCGTTTGACTTCAGCCCCATTTAGAGGACGTGTTTCATATGTTAGCCTCGTATTGCATTCACATTACATCACCACGTCACATCAGTCTGTAGATGTTATTCCTTCCAGGCTGTCAGCAGTGATATGTTAGTAATAAGTATAAGTATAATATTAATCATTAAATAAAAACCAAATGAACTGATGTGGTTTTACCTGTCCCCCTCCAGGTCCAGGACCCGGCGAGGCCTTTGGTCCCGGTCAGATGCCCAGCGGTGCCATGCAGGACATGTACCCCCGCGGGCCGCCCTCTGGGCCCCTGACAGGGATGGGCCCCAGACCCCAGTACCCCTACGGCCCCGGCTACGAGCGCAGGTGAGATATTAATGATGTAGTGTTCATACAAAGGTCTTCTTCTTCTCCTTCAGGGGGTTTTATTCTGTTTGTTTTGTTACTTCAGGTGGATATGAGATTAGTTGGTGGATGATGTAAACAGAATTAAGTTTGCAGTAGATTAAAATTCACCGAAAAATGATAAAGATATTTTATTATCTGAGTACAGCTGCACTGAGAAATAAATACATTCATTTGAATATTTATTTACAGGTGAATATGATGTATACACAAAAGTAAATATACATTTAACTCATCGGTGAGTGGGGGGGAACTTCACTCCATCACTGACCCAATATTAGCACAGAAAGACCTTTAAAACAAATAAATCCATTTAAGATTTACTGACATGAAGACAAACAACAGACAATCAAAAGACACAAAAGACACTAAATCCCAGTCTGAGAGTCAGTAACAGCAGTGCTCTCCTCACTCACAGCTCAGCTGCAGTAATCAGGTGTAACACACCTGGACAGAGCAGACACGGCACAGAAATAACAATAAATAATAACAAATAATCATCTGAATTTTATTTCTTATGCTTTGAACTGGAAGTAAAATCCGTCTTAAATGACACCATAAAGGTTTTAATGTCAGCAGCTGTTTATATTCTACCAGAGGTTCTCAGTGTCTCTCTCTGTCCTGCAGGTCGGATCATGTGATGGGGCCTGAAGGAGGCATGGCGCCCCCCGGAGGTCAGAACAACATGGGTCCATCTGGAAACGAGGCCGGCATTTACCCCAACAGATACCCCCCCCAGAGGTGAGAGGAAGAACATCTGTTTGCACTCTGATGTTAAATACGAGCGGAAATGTTGAACGTTTTCTGTGTGATCTCGTTCAGACACGACGGTTACGGGCAGCAGTATCCTCACAGCATGGCCTACAGTTCCCATCAGCCCCTGTACCCCCAGCAGCAGGTCAGAGGAAAACACCAAGCTAATGTTTACATCACAAAGTGTCAATATTTAGTTGTTCTCAGCTGATATTTTCTGTCCAATCAGAGTCTTTGTTTGTCAGGAGCTCTCTGATTGGTTGGTTACTCTGTCGTGTGTCTCCAGGGTTACAAGCGTCCGATGGAGGCGCTCTATCCTCCGGCGAAGCGTCACGAGGGCGAAGCGTTCGCTGTGCAGCAGTTCGGCTCCCAGCAGCCCGACATGTTCGGCCCCTACGGCGGGGGGGGCGGGGGAGGCTACATGGGCCCCGAGCGGCGGCCGGTCCAGGGCCTAGACGGGGTAGGCCAGTTAAGGCCTGGAAGGAGGGAGGGGCTGTCTGAGGGCAGGGGGGGCATGGAGGGGGAGGAGGAGGAAGGAGAGGAGGAGTGGGGGGGAACTGTGGCCGGCGTTGGCCTGCGATGACTGGGGGGCCACTGGCTTTTTGTCCTCCTTGCCCTCCTGGTCCTCAGCCCAGGCCGGGGTAGGGGGCCCGGCCTGGCCCTGCGGCTGTATGTGTAGCCCATGTCAGTCTGGGGTCGCCACATGTTCCTGCGGCCCCTCCCCGGGCCCCCCAGTCAACGCCCGGCGGTCCGAGCCCATCCATGGCGTGCTGCCGGGGGTTCTCCGGTCCCGCGGTTAACGGATACGTACTTGGG